GATTCTGTGTCTCCCTCTCTCTGACCCTCCCCCGTTCATGCCCTGTCTCTGTCTCAAAAATAAATAAACGTTAAAAAAAAAATTTTTTTTTTAATAAAAAAAAAAAGAAAGAAAGAAAGAGAATGATATGCTACATTTGAGCAATGAGAATCTCTTCCCCCTTTCAAACTCAGATCCACTAATTCTATGAACAGGGTATCCCTTCAACCATTAATGGTTTCTACATTTAAACGTTTTCCCACACCTTTTAACACCTTCGCTTCTGACTGCTTCCTTCCATCTCTTTGCATTTAATCTTTTAAAAAATAAAATCATACTTCCTTGATAATAAACTTATTTCAAACTGGGGGTACAAAATTTATTTACTGTGGAACTTCCAAAGGAAAAGACAACTAAAAACAAACAAGAAAACCCACCAAACATCTCCAAAATTCTTTATAACACAGCCACATCTTAACCTTTTTTTCTCAACACTAACATCTTTTACTTCTCCATGTTACACTAGGAAAAGAAAAGCCAACAGCAAAGGATTTCCACATTCTTTCACTCTCAAATCTACCCACCTACGTGTTTGCTGTCATTTTCTTCTCTCTCCTAACCCTGGGTAAGTGGTCTATGCTCATATCCAAAGCCAACCCCTCTCTCACCTCCTAGAACACTTAAACTCTCTATCCCTCCTCCCCTTCACTGTATACTTTTCCCCCTTCTCTACTCCATCATTTCCATCCAGGTGCATAAACATGCTGAAAGGGCACCCATCTTTTGCAATTCTTACAATATAATCACAAACTTACAAAACAGTTGGAAGTACAAGATCTAATCCTCAGGCCCGGTTCAAGTATCACCAGTTGTCCCAGTAATGTCCCTGATGGCCAAGACCCATTCAGAACCATGCCTTGAATTTAGCTCTTTGCCTGAAACAGTTCTTCGACATTTCCTTGGCTTTCGTGACCTTGACGCTGTTAAAAATTAGAGGCCAGTTATTTTATACGCTATCCTTCAGTTTGGGGGTTGTTTGGTGTTTCCTCATGATTTAGCTCCTGTGTATCTGGCAGGGAAGCCATAAAAGTCACACCGCACCCTTCGCATCGCATCCCGTTGGGCGGCAGATGGTTTCAATTTGTGCCGTTACTGACAACGTTCAAGTTCAGAAGTAGTTAAGGTAGTATCTGGCAAGCCTACTCTGCTGTACGTTTACTCTTCTCCTCTTTGTAATTAGTGAGGATTTGGAGCAGTACGTTCAAAGTGTGTAAATGTTTCATTCCTCATCAAGTTCTCAATATATCCATTTATGTATTTATATCTGCATAGACTCATGGTTTTCTATTTTATTCAATGAGTTATAATCTGTTACTATCATTACTGGCCAATGGGAACCCTTTCAAACTGGCTCCTGTCCCTCTGACATGTCTCCAACATTCTTTGAGTACTTTCTTGCGTTTTGGCACAACAAGATGTTCCGGGCTCATATTGTACTTTCTCTGGCCCAGCTCTGAAATCAGCCACTTCTCCAAGAGAGCTTCTTTTTATTGGAGAATGGTATTTAGAAACAAAACACTGGAGGACAGGTATGCTCAATGTTATTAAGGAGTCACTGATTTCAGGCCATTTCTGGAGACAGAAATAAGGAACACACATATACAAATACATATATGCACACACACAGCATGAGTTCCACATATATAAACGTGGGTATATGTGTGTGCACGTAGAGCATACTTGATCTGTCCACCTATAACGGCTTTCACAAAGTTGTTGGTGAAGAGAGGGCTTGGGAGGCCAGGAGAGAACTCACTACATCTCAAAATCAAACAAAAACAAAAACCCTGTTCTGACCCCATAGCCTCCTCCCAGCTACTGCCCCATTTGAGTTCCTTTACAGACGAAAGGAAAACCACCACCACTAACTAACCACCACAGAAACCTCCTCAAAGGAGAATACGAGACCTCTTCTCCCTCTCTTGAACTCATGCTAATCAGACTTTTGCCCTTACCGGACCACTAACTCCCAAGTTACCAACAACAGGAATCCACTCGCAGTCTAACTCCCTCCTCTCCTCCTCAGTATTTGACACGGCATCTCCTTCTGGAAATATGTTCTCCCTATCTGCTCCATCTCATCATCCCAGACTCTTCATCTTCCTCATCTTGGAGGAAGCTGGTGTGCCCAGGACTCAGTCCTAGGATCAGTGTTCCACCTACACCCACTTTGGAGTTCATCCCATCCTGCGCCAGACCTTTCAAACTCGCACCTGGTCTCGTCTGCCCTCCTCAGGCTCTCTTCGGCCTCTGTCCCTGCCCTTCCCTCGGCCATTCATGGCTTCTCCCAGGACCTAAAAGACTCGCTCCCTCGCTTCACGTAGGTCTCTTCTCAAACATGAGCCCAAAGACTTTGTAGCCACCTTATCTAAAATTACACCTTCCTAACCTGAGCCGCATATTCCCTCTTGGCTGTGTTTTATTTTTCTGCCTACTTACTTCACATCTCCACTTGGAGGTAA